GACGAACCAACGACAGTGAAACTCTTTATCGGATTCCAACCAAACTATGTGCTCTTGTAGGACTTGCAGAACTTGTATAATGGGTGATAAGTAAAAGAAATGTCCAAAATACATGCGGCATTCAACACAAAAGAATATGGGTAAATAAGTGGTCCGCAACGGCCTGTCAGCATGGTTAGATGTGAGACCAGCAGGCAACGTACCATCTACTGCCGCAAGATGTTTAATGCGGCGTGGAGTGTTTAATGACTGAAATACTAATTAGACGATGGCGCCCTTCCGAACCTCCTAATCGTCAAATGTACCGTTAGAAGCTAAGGCCACAAAATCAATGGCACGGCCGAAATACAGGCTGTTACCACTGAAGACTATGAAAATAATGTATTTGGTGGAATTTAAGGTTCATTCATATATAGTCACTACTGCATCATAGTAAATATGCTTCCTGTGTCGCTGTACTTAACGACAATGAAAGCTGCGGTTCGAACAGCGGAAAATGCCATGGGAAGCCTGAATGCCTCTAGTTGATAGAGATATAAACTGCCATTTCCAATGATTTATTTTGAGGATCACTTGCCCACTGGGGCGCAGCTGGTCCGAAGATTGCTTTCCAATTTACGGATGTCATTTTCGAGTTCAATGTGACGTAAAGTTTGTTACTGAATCATAATTTTCGTCGTCATAGTATTGCCGACTTAGAACTGAGAGGTCCCAGGTTCGAGCCATAGTCGGGTCACTGGACTTCCTTAAATAGGAGGAGGGTAAGTGTGCACCATTTTGTGTAAAGGAAACAACTTAATACGCACTGTTCTTTCCAAATAGTCGCTGTCGACTATGCCTTCAAAACAATACCTTTCTCACGGGTGGCGAGGAATTGCAGATCAGGATTTCACTATTAACTTTAAGAAAATATGCCCATATGTAAAACGCAAGGTCACCAACTTTCCTTTCTCTCTATCAGAAAATTAACTGGTTTCACTGCGCTCTTGTGCAACAACCGGAGAAATTGGCTAGAAGTTATTGCCCTGCAAATACCCTTGACAGCATGGTGTTAGGTTGAAGAAAAGCAAAAGCTTGTGGGATTAAAGACTGTTTGAAAATGTAACAGCTACGATTGGCTTTGATTTATTTGACAGTCGATAAAAAGCCCGTATTAGGTGAATATTATAAATAAAAGATTTCGCGAATTACAATGGAGTTCCCACCGTCCTTCCAACATTTTTCTGCAGTGACTTTAAGGTCCTTATAAAATTGTAAAGAGTGATCAGACTCTTTAATAACTTTTAAATAATGTTCCACGTTGGCAACACCACATATTCTTCATTACCTTTAAGTTATTTAAAGAATGTCGCGGATTTCTTTTCAAAACTCGTAGCGCAGTAGCAAAAGCGGACCTAAACGTCGCCTGTCAGCT